CCCCCGGGTTTATTTGTTAAAACTTTGTGGCGGTGATGGATGGTTGAAATTATATACCCATATGTTTCTTGTTGATGGATGCATGCGGAATAATATCCTTAATTACACACTCACATATGTTATTGAAATTTATTATAAATATTGGGAATTCGTATATCCTTAACAACTATATACGAAATTATATATATATATATATGCGTATATACCGTTGAACAATAAATATTTAAAACATTCAAACGACGGTCGATCTATGGTCTGTTTAATATTGTTTAGGAATTGAAAAACACGTGCAAAGCTCGAGAAAGATGATGTATATGTCGTCGTGTTTTTATGGGATGTATAAACTGAATCATGAGATATTATTATATGTTTGGATACATGCATGCATTCCTATGCATGCATCCATGTCCTCGCACTCATACAGATGCATGAATTTTGTTTTCCTTCTTTTGACTTTGGTCAGTGTTGCAAAAAGGTGGAAAAAGCCATAATTATCTCTTAGTTTATTTTTCAACTTTATCTTCTATATACTTAATTTTGGTATCTACGGAAAAATATTATGTTAACATTTTCCAACTTCTAGATAAGATCAGAAAGTATGGAATAAAAGGTGACCGTAATTTTATTTCGATATCTATGCAATCTATATATATATATATAACATATAAAATGGGTTAATTGTGTGCAGATCATTGATTACAGAACAGTTATTTTTAAAATATAATACACATGGACCAACATGTTCAAACTGGTTATTCAACTATATTATATATATGTTCTTTAACAAAAAAAAAACTATATTATATGTTTTAGCTACTTTAATGCATTATAAATACTAATCAGAAAATAATTAATCTTATCCTTAATTGTCTTCCCCAACAAAATGAGGCACGTAGCAGTATAAATTAGATGTTTTGTACCGGATTATTAAATTTTTTAAACTTAAATGTGAAATTTGATTATTATTAAAATAAAATGGGAAAACCGACTAAGAAGCGACAAAAGTGGGGTGGGGAGAGACCGGAGACGTACGAGGAACATTAATAGCCAATAGGGCAAGTTGGAGGAGAAATGCATTGAATCGAAGAGGAAAGACCACGTGACCCCTTTTTCCTTCTGATTACCAAAAAAAAACTTAATTTATTTTTATTTTATTGATATATATAAATGTATATAGTTCAGTACTATTGAATTATATGCGTTTCTAATGAGCATATGTCAATTACATTATACATTTTTTTATAAACTAAATTAATATAATGTTTATTTTTCAATCATATTATTAACACAAATTGCAATAATCCGTATAGATACAAGAGAAAAAACGTAATAAAAAGTCGAACATGAATGTTCCAAAAAAAAAATACGCCACTCACAAAAAAAATGTTTGTATAATTTTTTTGTATTTATGTATACGTACCGTCGAAATTATTGGATAAACCTTAATTAATTAGAATGATGATGGAATCGTGAACGCCGATTACGATTCGAAAACGTTACGAAATGGTGCCATATTTACTTGTATACATGTATATATGCATGCATGCATGCATGTATGTATGCATGCATGTATGTATTTATAATATTTTCCACCATATGCATGTGATCTATGAAAGGTTGTGCGATGCCCAATGGCAATTAATGTATGGGCTGCCATGTACGCACATGTATTCAACGCTTTGCATATTTCAACTTCTTCTGAGTTTTTAAAATTTATGTTCATGTACACATAAAAAACATCGAGTTTATTAAAAACGGTCATTAGAATTATATTATTGGGTATATTTTTTTTTTCTGAAAGGAATAATTTTTATAATTTTTTTTAGAAAAGTTATTTTTTCTTGAAAATCCCTTCCCTTTCTTGGAAATTTAATAGATTACAATAATATTTACAGAGTTTTAACTGATTTGATCTCATCAATTTTGATGATTTACCAACAAATACTTGTATTTGAATACAATATGGTGTCACATGTATGATCTCGAGTTTGTTTTCTATAAGCTTATATCTAATGGCATGCTCTTGATTTATACATGTCAAGTTGTGGTCGTATTATTATTATTATTATTATTATTATTATATGGTAGAAAGCTGTTCTCATCGTATATATCCGTACAATGTATTTTTATAAGGAAACAATTGGTCTTTCAATTCGTTTGTCCTATCTGACTCAATCGTTCTGTACATTGCATCTGGTAATTGGTGTTGCATTTGGTAACACATCAAAGTCCCTTTCAGAGTAACTATCATCTCATCCCTAACCAAAAACTTTAGATAAAATATTTGGGTTTGAACATATAACATCAAACTAAATTAAACTATAATATATGCATATATATATATATATCAAAATTAATTTAAAAGTTAGTCAGATATGATTTTATATAACTACATCTTTGAAAATATTATTGATTTTTGAAAAGGATTTAGATTTGCTCCATTTTTTGGAAAAGCACGGAGTATTGAAAATTTAAAAACAGATAAAAGATCGAGAAACTTCGGTCTCAGTCAGAGGCTTAGTTTGCTTCTCATTTCATCGCGTAGATTAAAAAAACGAGAGGAGGAGAGAGAGAGGACCAGGGGAGAAGAACCTTGGAGGAAAGCGTCGCAATAAGTCCGTTTTCTTTCTTAAAACCGGCAACTTGCTCTTCACTTTTGTCAGAAGCATCCATTTTCTTTCCAAAATCAAATCTTTTCAAATCCCCATTTATCTTCCTCCCTTGGATTTGCATCCCAGATTTCGCCTTGTAACCCTCCAACCCTTTCTTCTTCTTCTTCTTCTTCTTCTTCTTCTTGCCAAGTTTCATCAGACGGGTTTTGCCCTCATCACGGTCAAGGTACTGCCTTTCTCCAAATCTGAAACGAAAACTGTCTTTTTTTTTGTGTGTCTGCAGATCTTCGTTTGTTTTATTGCCAGACGTTGATGTTGTTCATGTTTCTGATTATTCTTGAAAACAAATCCGTCCTTTTTCTATTCTGGTTGTTCATACTGGATTCACATTCACTGTTATGTCTATGGATGATTCGTACCATTTACTAATTCTGAACGATACGATTTCCTCTGCAGTTTTGGTTCCAAATCTGACCACTCGTCCCAAAGTCTCGCTGTCTCGGCTCTCTTGCCTGGATTTTGAATTCAGGATCTTGGGGTATCGCTGTTCGGTTCAGAAATTCCAGGGAATCGAACATAAATTCATCGTCTGGATCAAGCTGCATTGACGAAAAAGGTCGTTGCTTTGCATCTGGGTGTATCTCAGTTCTTCGTAAAACCAATTCGGGAGCTAGCCATCTGAATGCTTTGATCAAACCCAGAGAACCTCGTAGATGATTCGCGAAATCTCCGGCTTACCAAAAGACGTCATCAACATCCAAGACCGTTGTTCGGGAAACATCATGGACGTACGGCGAGAGAAGAGCAGAGCCATGAGATTCCGACCGCCGCCGCTGCTGGAGAAGACGAAAAAGCACGAAATCCGGCGAACGATGTCGGCGCAGAATAGCCCGAGAAGGCTGATACCGGCGAGCTACTTCAGCATAGAGTCTCTGGTTCTACTGGTGGGTCTGACGGCGTCGCTGCTGATTCTTCCGTTGATTCTGCCGCCGTTGCCTCCGCCGCCGTTCATGTTGCTTCTCGTTCCCATCGGGATTTTGGCTGTCCTCATGATCCTCGCCTTCATCCCTACTTCCAACCCCAAAAATGTAGCTTGCTCCTATCTGTAAAAAAAAAAAAAGAGATGTAATCTTTTTTTTTTTTTTTTGGTAAAACAAAAAAGATGTAATCTTTGTTTTAGAAAGAACGAGGGAAAAAAAACAGCTTTTTTGTTGCATTACATATATTATACATACATACCTCAAGTGGTAAGGTATACGTATATACATACAGTTGTAAAGAAATGAGGTAAAAGGGATATGAAGTTGAGTTTTACCAATATGACCGTACTCATTTGTTATTACACGAGGTTTCTTCATATACATGGCTTGAGTTACGACAACCAGAACCGACCAGACAGAGACAAACATATCATATCGCCCTTCCACCCTATCCATTGTTCGGGACGACCACATTAAACAGAGACTAGATTCCAGTACATCTCCGGTAAGTTTTACCCAAAAAAAAGCAAAAAAAAAAAATGCTCATCATCTGAACCCCAGATCCGAAATTCTGCGATTATTTCAACTTATCCCAGAAAACGGATGAAAACTCGCCATCGATGCCTTCGTGTTTCCCCCCCTTTCTCCTCCGTGTTTAGGCAGAGGCTCTGTTTCAGTGAGAAGCTTTGACCAAAAATGGAGGAAGATGACGCTCCAAAATGGCGAGGAGGTGACCGCACTGGCCGGCTTCTGTCTCCACGACAAAGCCCTGAAGCTGTCTCACCGCTTCCACGAGCTGTCCCCTTAGCCTCTGCGACAACAACACTCCCCTTGTCTCCGCGCACTCTCTGTACACAGACATGTACCCGATCCCCACCCTCAACGGCGCCGGCAGGTCGCTCAAGCATATCGGAGACTCGCCCCTTTCCGTAATCCTCATCAAGTTCACGAAGTGCTCCTGCCCTTCTCTAATCCCTTTGTCGAAAGCGGCTTCTGACCAGTGTTCCTGCAGAAACGACTTCAGCTCAGGAGGAACGCTCTCGTCGTCTGATCTCGCGATGCTGTCCGCGACAGAGTAAGTGGCCGTGGGATCGCCGAGGAAATCCGATTTGAGGAGAAACTCGACGCCGTTGAGGGACCCGCAGCTTCTTTCCCCGGCCGCTTTGAGGATCTCGATGCTGAGAGCGGCAAGGACAGGTTGCGGGACGTGAGGGAGGAGATAGGCAGCTACCTCTTCTTGGCTGCGGGAAGTAGCGGCCGTCAGGGCAAGGCAGAGTTCCATGTCCCGGCATCCTCTTTTCACGAACCACTGGACGACCTGCATGCAGCCTCTCTCGGCCGCTCTCATCAAGGGGCCTAAGAACGTAATGGCATGACCTTCTTCCACCAGGCACTCCATTGTTCCGATTTTGCAATAATGTGATGCGAAGCCCAAGGCTAGGTCGACATCTACGTCTAGGCTGTTCCTTTGAGCAATCTGAAAAAAAAGGAAAGTCAGAACATACAGAAGAAAACTGACAACAAGGTAATAACGAAGCCTTCGCCACCACATGTGACTTCTGTTCTCAGATGCATAGTTTTAGGCTTCAATTGATTTTAGAAGGTTTGCTGTGAGATCAAAAACAAAATGGTCGAACCACATGTAATGTTCACTGCTAATGTCCTTGGGGAATAAAGTAATTCAAACACAGAACTAATATGAATCAAATGCTGGTATATATGGATGAGATTGAAAGATTTCTTTTGTCATAGGTTGATTACTTAAAAGCAAAGTGTCGTAACTGCGTAACTGGAAATCAAGAAAACGCTTAGGCAAATCGAATATCGTATAGGGTACCTGCAACAAGATGCGCACAAGTTCGGTACTTCCGAAACGTGAAGCTTCAAGAAAACACTGATTCACGTTATCTGCACCACCTTCCACCAGCATACCGAGCAATCCTTGTACAACAGTAGCTGACATTCCAGACGACCAACCAGGATCAAATGAGCTGGAAAATAGTGTGAGGGGAAAGCAAGCTGCATCAAAAGCCTCGGTGAAATCCTTTCCAGTTAGATGATTTCCCGCTAGATCTAAGAACATCTTGAAAGCAGAAAGCTGTAGTTGGATCTCAACAGTTGAATTCTGGCTCACTCTATCCCTAGTTCCCTGGCATCGGGAGTGGAAACCTATACATTTGAGTGCCCATTCAGTAAACTTTTGAACTTTGGCACCAGCTTCTGCTTTAAGAACTTCATCCCCGTTGCACTCCTGGAGACGCTCATGCAACCTGTTATTTCCAGACAAAAGAAAAAGGATTAACAATGGAAAAGATGAAATCATACGGGACATTATTTCATTCCAAGAAAGAAAGAACAAGAGCGATACTGAAAGTAACCTTAGATAGTCTCAAAACACATCCATGATATATTTCTCACAGACAAGTACACATATAGAGCTAACAAGTGAAAGACATCCATCATTGAAGATGAAGATCTCTTCCACGGAAGTTAAAGCAACAGATTTTACAGAACTCACAAGCAGGTAAATTATGTCTACCTAATTGAACATCATTTCCTACAAAGGTTTACCAATGCTAACTCAATTTATATGTGCAGCAGACAACCCATTAAAGACGTAAAAATCATTGTAAAAAGTGCGACCCAGAGGACAGAATTGCAATCCCGAGAAGTAAATGCAAGTTACAAGCGAACCAGAGAAGAAACAAGGAATCATCAAACACAACAACAATATATATAATGAGACGGAAAGAAAAATCTCATAAAAGAATCAGATTTGTACCTTTGAGCCATAACAGTTACAGTATCTGCAAGACTCATGGTGCGACTCTGGCAGGCAGAGACACATGAAGCAAGGAATGAAGTCCTAAGAGTAGCTCGAGTGAAGTCATGAGCACCATGACTTATGACCTTCTTAATCAAACCCATGATCCCGTGTGATTCATGCTCTGTGCTCAAGAACCAAACAGAATCCAGACCAACACACAGCAAATCGTTCAAAGCCTGAGGATCAGCCAACTGAATCAATCTTTCTGCCAGTTCCCAGTTCTGTGAGCTTACAGCCCCTTGGAAGAGTCGTCCCAGTTCAATTCTATCGTGCCGATTAAGCTTCTTATCCTCCCTAAGATTTCCCTTAGTTCTGAACTTTAGTTTCTTTGCACTACAACCACAACATTCACCCGAATTGGTTCCAGCTGAATCATGATGACCAATCAGAGGTGCTTCTCTTGAGAAAACCACATCACTCCCTTCGCCTCCTTCCGATGAAAAATCCGGTAACTCGTTCTTCGGAGATTCAGCAGCGCTCTCCTCAGTTTCCATCTCGGAACAGAAAGGCTCATCAGGGTAAATCTGATCGCTTAATTTCATGTTCTTACACACAATCCCTTTCTCCATTTCCAAACCAAAACAACTCCCAAACCGCTCAAAAAAACCCAAAAAAGGAGAAAACCTTACTCTTCCAAGAGGTATGCAGACATCCTAGAATCCACAAAACAAAGCAAAACCCTCTTCTTTACACAAGTCTAGAGCAACTTCCTACCTCCAGATCTGGATTCATCCGAAAGAAAGTGCCGGAAGCAAACAAAAGAACAAAACTCCCAGATTGATATCCTCTCAATCCATTAACCATTCCAGATTGCTTCAAAAAGTAGACTTAGACAAGAAATCAAGCCCAGCGAATCGAAAGACGAAATCCAGAAATTTTAAGCCCCTTGTCCTGAAATGCTTGAAAATTACAAGACGTGGTTCACGAGAGCAAAAAGGGTCTCAACGATTCAAATAGGTAGCCGTCGAAGCATCGAAATCTACAAAATTACGGCCAAAACCCGAATCCAGCACTGATCCCCATCACCAACTCTCATCCCGCATAAATCCTTGATGCCTTCAATCAGTGGACTCAATCCTGGCGATGCCACCAGTAATCAAGAACAAACCCTAGAACGGAAGAAGGAAAAAAAACACATCATCAACAAAACACCCCAAATTGATTCGCGCGAATACCCGACAATTGAGAAACCGAAATACATACAACCGAATCGGAAAACACAATCAGACAAAAACAAAAACGGAGCAGAGTCGTCGGAAAAACAACGTATATGAACATGAAAAATAAGAAAGAGCGAACCTGAACGAGATTTTCATTGAGAGATGCAGAGAGAGAGAGAGAGAGAGAGAGAGAGAGAGATGGAGAAAGAGAGGTTGAGAAAAGCCCTGTGCGGCTGTGCATTGGGTTCCGGTTTCTTTTCTTTTTTTTTAGAGAGGATTTCATTTATTGCAGTAATTTAAAAAGTTGGATTATAACTGATATTTTCCCAATATTCTCTAGATATAATTATTCTAAATTTAGATTCCCTCTCTTTCCAATAATTTCAGTAAATAAATGAATTATAACCTCCATATTCTGTTAGCTGCAAATCATAGATCGACAAATAACCCCGATTACAAATCATGGAAAAAGATTATATTCCAGTGGAAAATAAAAAAAAGGAATACAATATTCTATTGACTCAATATGCGTGCATATATCTGTGTGTATATATACATGTATCATATTATATATTTTATATATTTACATGTTACGAATATAGTAGTCCGCCAGTGTAGAAAATACTATTTTTAGGGATTTTTTTTTGGAGGAATGCTGAATTTCATTCTTTTAAAGCTTTTGTCTGTCAATAAAAGATAAAGTAGGTTACGTTTTTCGTTAGTAATTGTTTTTTAATGGAGGATTGAATATTAATGTTACATGTGAATCTTTTAAGGCACAACTACATGAAACATGACGTGATTTTGGATTTTATTGGGGTGAGAAATAAAACTCAGAACCTAAGGGGTTAAATCTGTAAGGACCTAAAATTTAGATGGTCAGCCTAAAATTTCATTGAGCATTTTTATAATCTCGTTAATATTATTACTCATATTGTACTAATTATGAATAAAAAGTTGGGAAATCCAAAAGGCATTGAATTTTCTAATTTTGATACAAAAAATATTAATGTTTTAAAATTAATTTTTAATTGATTCAAAAAAAATATAAAAACTTTTTTATAATTATTAAAAATATAACTATATGATTCACAATTTAATTTTTAATATTTGATTTGATATGTCATAGATTACAATGTTCTGTAAGAATTTTACGCGTGAGTGAAGAAATCATATCAATTATTTTATAAATTATTAAGAGTGTCAACATCAATCCAAAATTATTCCGATTTAAAAAAATATATAACTACTAAATATATACAAAAATGTTATCATCATCATCATCTAGTTTTTAGATAACGCAATGTTAAACTATTATCGGGTGACGGGAAAAGGACTCCAAAGTGGTCTGCTTACAGAATCAAGAGACTAAGTTGCAAAGGTCCTTGAAAGAGTGGGGTCGAAATTGAATTAAGAAAACTATCGAACAATCAAAAACCAGACATGGGGCCCACATATGCTGACACCACATGCCATTACGACACGTATCCTCTTTCCGGTTTCTTCTCTCTCCTGCCCGCTCTGCCCCGACTCCTTAGATTATTAGATTCCATTATTTTCCCCAATTATTATAATACCCCCACAAGCTAACAAAAAAAAAAAACTTGAAAATATCAAAATTTATTAACACAGAATAATAGGTAACCGATGTATATTATTTTTTACTAACTAAAACATTAAAATGGATGGGATTTTAAAATGGCTTTCTACGATTTTAAATATTCACAATAGTAGTATTGTTATTTAATCATGCATATCCTACTACTAGGTATTAAAACGATTCAACATCCAAAACTAATTAATTTTCATTACAAATAACAATGTGATTTAATATGTAAATCGAAATAATATATGGACTATCGAAACATATATTTGCAGAATATATATATATATATATATATATATAAGCGTATGACATTTTAGCCGTATGGGCCTTGTTGGACTTATATATGCTGTACGGACCGGTATATATATTTTCGACCGGACCAACTAAACGGGCCTTGGTAAAGTATTGCAAATATGGATCGATAAGGAATGCTCTTTTGGCAATCTTGAAAATTAGTTCAAGATTCAAGATTTATTTTTTTAAAAAATTAAACAAATACACTCAAAACATAAATAAATACATTCAATTTAAAAAAACTACCAAATAAATTATACACACAAACACACTTTTATTCATATTTATACACATATATATTTATTCACACGTACTGTTCATGGCATTATTCAATAGTTTTTCAAAATTTTGTATTTGTTTGATAGCGTAGAAATAATTTAGATTTCACTTTGAGGATATATATCAGACACTCGGGTCTCGGGAATTCAGTGTAATAGCACAAAGTGAATCGGTAAATATAATAATAACTAAATATCTAAAAAAAAGAAAATTAATGGACAATCATTTGTTGTTAGCATCTTTGTTTAGAAAAAAAAAATATCTGAAAATTCTTTAATTTATAGTTTGGTAAAATATTAATTCATAAATTTATAGATGCATCTATTTATTCCCAAACTTATATTTTTAACAAAGTAATTTCTAAATTTTTGAATATAATAATTTTTAAATTTATATTTTTAATACAATAATTCTTAAACTTTATTTTGGTCATTACTAATTAGTGGTATGAACGATTATAAACTGTTACGTAAATGTATGAATTATTATTACAATTAAATTAAAAAAAGTGTAACTTAGAGAATAAATAGATATATTTTCAAGATAATTAATATTATGTCAAATTAATTTTTTTTTTTTAGATTACCGACCTTTTGTTTACGCTCTCTCATCTAATAGGAGACTCCCCACTGACCTCAGCACACGCGCTCTCTTTCACTCTCTCGGTCAGCCATGGATGAAGAGTACGATGTTATTGTTCTCGGAACCGGTCTCAAGGAATGCATCCTTAGCGGTCTACTCTCCGTCGATGGTCTCAAGGTCCTCCCACCATCCTCTTTTTGGGTTTTGTTCGTTAAGCTTTTCATTGCTGGTTTTATTCTTCGATCCGAAATCAAAATTCAAAATTGTATGTGTATAATATACGAATCCTAGGGGAGATGAGATCTTTGATTGTGTGATCTGAGGTCTTGGCTTCGATCTGACTAGGGGTGAATTTGTTAGAAGATCGGATATACCGAGTCTGACCCGGAAGATATCGAAAAATGCCTGTTTTGCTAAGATGGGTTCGCGATTATTCTCTTTCGTCGCGAGTTTATTTTCGTGAGTGGTTGTGTTTTGGGTTTTCAATCCGACCATTGAACCATTTTCCATCAGCTCTACGATTCTTCGTGCGATCTGTTTTGACGCATTAGATAATGAGGAATACGCAGGAACGGCATCTCACAGAAATTTGAAATTCAAGATGAGGTTGGATCCCTTCATGGGACGAGCCGACTTTGTCTTGAATAGATGCGGCATGTGTTTTAAGTAATCATGACATGCTACAGTTTGAAAGCTTGCTGGTCGACTGATGTAGTTTTATGTATGTTCTGGATAGGTTCTTCACATGGACAGGAATGACTACTATGGTGGAGAGTCTACATCGCTTAATCTCAATCAGGTTCTTATCTCTGAAATCTCTTGAATGATCTTTTGCTACTCTCTTGTCCTTTTTAGTTTTAACGAGTATACACCGTTCATGGTTTTCTTTTTGCAGCTTTGGAAGAAGTTTAGGGGAGAAGACAAGGCCCCTGCCCATTTAGGTGCAAGCAGGGATTACAATGTTGACATGATGCCCAAGGTACGATGTACATTGATTCTAGCTGGTTGTTCCTTTTTTTTTTGTACCGAAGCCACCTCCTAACGACTTTCTCTTGATATGGTGGACCAGTTTATGATGGGAAATGGAAAACTTGTTCGTGTGCTTATTCATACCGATGTTACAAAGTACTTGTCCTTTAAAGCTGTGGATGGCAGCTACGTTTTCAACAAAGGAAAGGTGCAGACTTCTCACCCACATGTTGGTTGTGTGTTTGCCGTGATCTCGTTCGTTTTATTTGTAGCTCTTTAATCTGATGAATTAGTCTACAGATTCACAAGGTGCCGGCTACACCTATGGAGGCTCTGAAATCTCCTCTGATGGGTATCTTCGAGAAACGTCGAGCTGGAAAATTTTTCAGTTATGTTCAGGATTACGACGAAAAGGACCCAAAAACACATGGTGGGATGGATTTGAACAGAGTTACGACAAAGGAATTGATCTCGTAAGTTGATGTTCTGATGTCATCCAGCATCATGGTTTTGTTGACATTCAATTAGGAGTGTAAATGGCTGACCAAGTAGATGACACTTTGGCAGGAAATTCGGTCTTGATGACAACACTATTGACTTCATTGGGCATGCAGTGGCACTTCACAGGGATGACTCATATCTCAGCCAGCCTGCCCTTGATACTGTGATGAGAATGAAGGTGAACTGCTCTTAGGGGCTCCAGATTTTATTCCCCTTGTCCTTCTTTCATATTTTGTTTGGAACTGGCATATGCTGACATTCTTGTTTTTAATGGTCTAGCTTTACGCGGAGTCCCTTGCACGTTTCCAAGGAGGTTCACCTTATCTTTATCCTCTCTATGGGCTAGGAGAACTGCCTCAGGTTTCTGTTTCTGTTCTTTCGGTCTATGCATTGTTTGATTGGGAAGTATTCTGATGTTTTGAAATATGATTTCTGGATTCTTTGTTAATTTTTTTCTTTTCATTCTGTCTCAGGCATTTGCACGACTTAGTGCTGTCTATGGTGGAACATATATGTTGAATAAGCCTGAATGCAAGGTCTGTCTCTTTCTATCTCTCTTTTTTGTCGTTCCAACTTCCGCTGGTGGCGGAGGGGCCAACCCTTGTCGTCTTTACTTTGGATTCATGTCAGATCTAATGTGGCAATTTCGTCTCTTATACCAGGTTGAGTTTGATGAAGAAGGTAAGGTTGCCGGTGTTACATCAGAAGGAGAGACTGCCAAGTGCAAGAAAGTTGTTTGTGATCCTTCCTACCTGGCTGACAAGGTAATACTAGAATTGTAATAAGCGCCCAGTGACATTTTAACTGTCCCAAATTCTTTTCCACGATAGCGGGGAGCTGTATAGGGAACACAGATGTTTATGACACCAGTGCCAGTCTCCGATTTCATGTATGGTTGGATCTGTAGGCATAATAACTGTAATAGTGTTAGATACATACACACATCTAGTTCCCTCGGTGTTTTTGTTTTTTTCTGGTTTGTTCATAAGAACATGGATTTGTTGAGGAATAGAGATTTACCCAATTTATTCTGGTTGTTTATCATGTGTGGATTTGAACAGTTCATAACATGATGAAAAATCTTGTTCCAACAGGTCAGGAAGATCGGCAGAGTTGCGAGGGCGATTGCCATAATGAGTCACCCTATTCCAAACACCAACGAATCTCACTCAGTGCAGATCATACTTCCCCAGAAGCAGTTGGGTCGCAAATCAGACATGTTAGTGCTCTTATTTTTATTATTTTTGTCTCTATTGAAAACTTGAAAGACATGAATGAGTGTTTATGCTTAGATATCCATTGTTTTGTGGTCTAAAATGATACCCTTCCTGTGACAGGTATGTCTTCTGCTGTTCGTATTCTCACAACGTTGCTCCAAGGGGCAAATTCATAGCATTTGTGTCAACAGATGCTGAGACGGATAACCCACAAACCGAACTGAAGCCCGGAATTGATCTTCTGGGTCCTGTTGACGAGATATTCTTTGACATATACGACAGATACGAGCCAGTCAATGAACCCTCATTAGACAACTGCTTTATCTCAACAGTGAGTTATCATACTCTTGAGCTATATTATCATTACATTACCTGTTTATTTTATCGAGGGCTGGCTTCTGAAGCTATGTTTCATTTCATAACAGAGTTATGATGCCACAACACACTTTGAGACAACAGTGGCAGATGTGTTGAACATGTATACCCTCATCACTGGAAAGGTATATATGTATATATGTATTCGTTTTCAACTGCATTATGTATCATCATCATCATCATCTATAGACACAATTAATATACAGTCAAGAAGGGATGGAATGAATGGGTGTTTGGTTTTTGCAGGTACTGGATCTTAGCGTGGATCTGAGTGCAGCCAGTGCTTCAGATGAATGAGCAACATTTTTGTCTTGAATCTGCCAAAAATGATGCTCTCTCTCTCTCCTCTCTTACATGATCTTGACTTCTTCTTAAGTTCTCTTAACCTATGTCTGGTTTCTCTCTGATGCCAGTTTCTGGTTTTCATTGCCATGAATGCTGGATCATGAATATGCAAAAGCTCTTAAACTTATAAACAAATTGTCCTAAGCTTCATGATTTGACTTTTAGTCTCATTTTAGATTTTCCATTCTAAACACTAATTACTTCTTTTTGTCAAGTGGCTTGGGAAGTTTGACCCAAACAGTAATAGATGTTCATTGTCTGGCTTTTCTGTGTTCAGTTTGTGTTGGAATTTAATGATGTCTTCCATTCCATTACTTTTATTGCTATCCAAATAGTAATAGTGAGAGTAAATTTGTTTAATAATAATTTTAATTAAAAAATACACGAGTTCATCATAGTTTTAATTTAAAAAAGGAAAGAATTACGTGAAAGGTGAAATCTATTGTTTATATCATCTAAAATATCATAGTGTATTTTCAAAAAAAAAACTCTGAAATTTGCGTATTTCACCAGATTTTTTTTGGTAGTGATGATGAGGTTTAGTTGTTGCTTTTACGGTTGGACACTCGGGCTTTAGCCCAAACCGGACGATGAGTCGGTCTGATCCGGTTATTAAACCGGTTTTCTTTAACTCATCCAAAACGCAGCGTTTTAATACTTCACATCAAGGTTTTTTTTTCCTGCCCCTTGTCTCGCCGTTGGTCCTCTCTCCTACCTCTCCCTTGAGAGTAGTCTCTATAAGGTAATCTGGCGCGCATGAATTCTCCTAGTTCTTACGCTGATTCTGTCGCAATTCCCAGGGTTGGATTTCAATTCAGTTTCTCCTTTTAATCGTTTTCAGATCGATTTTGTCTGTAGTTTTATTCACGGATCAGTTCTTCGTCGTAGCGTCTGTTTACTGGGTTTTCCTGTCTAGGGTTTGTTTCAATCACCAATCCGGTTGAGCCCTTAAAATCTGATGTCTTTCTCTCGCAGTTTGAAACCGAGTAGAGAAAGGGGGGCATCGAGTAGAAAAACGGAAGCGTAAAGGATGAAGCTTGACGTGAATGTATTGAGATATCTGTCCAAAGATGATTTCCGAGTACTCACTGCGGTCGAGATGGGCATGCGAAACGTTTGTTTTCCCCCTCCTCCTCTTCCCTGGATTCAAAATTAGGGTTTTCGGTTTACTGGAAATCGATTTCTTTTATCCACTGACAGATTTCGGTTATTTTCGGTTGCAGCATGAGCTTGTCCCTGCCGAACTCGTCGAGCGCATTGCTTCTCTCAAGTATTTGTTTTTTTCTTATCTATCTCCATGTTTTGAGTGATTTTTTGTCTGTTAGTGTGTTCTTTTGTTCTTGGCTTTAACTCGCTATTTCAGAAACAGTAACTTTGCAGATCTTGTGATAATCATATGCTTGTCGTGTGTCCAGGCATGGAGGCACCTACAAGGTCCTGAAGAACTTGCTCAAGTATAAACTTCTGCACCACGATTCCTCTAGATGTGGGTAGTTGCTTATGCCTCAATTTGTTCCATACGGATCTGCAGTTTTAGAAAGTGGGGCTGGCCCTAATGGTGTTCTTTGCATCTTTATCTAGATGATGGATTCCGGCTTACATATCTCGGTTACGATTTTCTTGCCATTAAAACGATGGTCAACCGAGGCGTATTTAGTGCCGTTGGTCGTCAAATCGGGGTTGGTAAAGAATCAGGTGAGTCGTCGGTGCATTTTATTTGTGGGTTTTTTCTTCAGTAACATACCCTACAGAAGTTATTTGTGTATGTATGTTTGGTTTTATCTAATTTATGTGTCCTTTACCATCTAATGTAGACATCTTTGAGGTTGCTCAGGAAGACGGGACTGTCCTTGCAATGAAGTTGCATAGACTGGGGAGAACTTCTTTTAGGGCAGTCAAATCTAAGCGTGATTACCTGCGGCACAGGAGTAGTTACAATTGGTTATACCTGTCTCGGCTTGCAGCTCTCAAGGAATTTGCTTTTATGAAGGTTATTATTTCCTGTTTCCATCAGTGCAACACCTGCTTTTGTTTCATAACTTTGCCCTTTTGGCTTAATGTTTGTCGGCATGATAAGCAGGCTTTGGAAGAACATGAGTTCCCTGTTCCGAAAGCTATTGACTGCAATAGGCATTGTGTTATCATGTCCCTTGTCCAGGGCTACCCCCTGTAAGTACCTTTACTTCCCAAACAGACTCTGTAAATGCCGTCCTAGCCTGATTGCAGTATTTACTGCCCTTATTGTCTATCACAGTGTTCAGGTGAAGCAATTGCAAAATCCCGAGACTGTTTTCGAGAAGATCCTTGGGATTGTTGTTCGTTTGGCAGAGCATGGTCTAATTCACTGTGATTTCAACGAGTTCAACATTATGGTAATATAATTTAATATCTCGAGTTCTCGACTACTGATTATGATTCCTTTTTCTCTTGCATTTCTGATAGCAGACCGCAATTTTTATTGCCAAGTATGTTGTGTTTAGTTGGCATTGGTTTCGTTATCTAAGTTGCTTCTTACTGATGATTTAGACTTGTCAAAGGATAAATAAATTGTCTTGTCTTGTAGGTTACTGACCATTTTGGGTGACTTGTCTAATTTCTATATGTATCTTAGATTGATGATGAAGAGGATATTACAATGATCGACTTTCCGCAAATGGTCTCTGTTTCACACCGAAATGCACAGATGTATGTGATATTTCTTCTGTTCACCTTGTCTCGAAAAATTGTTATCATTTTCCCTCCGATGATTTTACTGGATTTGGTGTAAGTAAATATGATTTCTGCCACTCATATTTGCATATAAAATCTATTATAGGTACTTTGACCGTGATGTTGAGTGCATCTTCAAGTTTTTCAGAAAGAGGCAAGTGCCTGAATAATTTCAGAAATAAACCTTCTTTCCACAAACCCGCCCGCATGATCCATCCTTCAGTACTCCTTGCATAATCCTTGAATGCTTAACCTTGCTTCCCTTTCAGGTTTAATATGACTTTTCAAGAAGATAAAGGTGATTCGGATGAAACAGAAGAGGTAGATGCAGCAGATGATAGCGGCAGACTGTCATTTTCGGAGATAGCAAAGTCTGCTGGTGCTTTGGATAAGGAACTAGAAGCTAGTGGGTTCACAAGAAAGGAGCAGAATGACCTTGATAAAGTATGTAAACCCATATCACCTTGATTCCTAGTCCAAGATTCCTTTTTTTAGCCATAGTCCAAAAAGTTTTTTTATATTTATTGTCTGTAGGATGATGTCTTTAATGCTGTTCCACTTGAGGTTTCTTTCATGTGGTGTTTAAATGGAATCTAAAATGAATATTGGGTTTTATCTTTTGCAGTTTATTGAAAATGGCCTCGAGAAGGGTGAAGATTCTGGTAACGAGGAATCTGAAGATGAAGAAGAGCAGACTTCTGAATCAAATGAGGAAAACCTTAGTGGGTTCAACTCATTTCAAGAAAAGGTATGATAAAATTGTGTTAAATAAAGAATGATATTGACATTGGAAGGGCGGCATAGCTTTCCTTTTTTTGCCCCTTCTTAATATGATAATATCTGATGTTCTCTGCATTTTCCATGCATGATGCATCTGTAGTTTTGTTTTGCACTTCACACCGGATAAAATCTATATAATGTTTGTTTGGCATGAATGATAAAAGGAGCAGAATTCAAACAATCACGTCGTTGACGATGACAATCACGAGAAAGGTCAAAGCGGTGGATCTGAAGATGAAGATGAAAGTGATGAGGTTAGCATTTACTCCAATAGTCAGTCTCCTATGCAAAAAACAAAAACTATCTTTCACTCTAGTAAATACCCGTTTTCTTCTGCGGCAGGAAGAAGAAGGCATAGAGCTGGCGAAAAGATTGAACAAGCAAAGGAGACGTGCCATGGCAGCGGTGAGGGGAGGACGGAGGAATTCATCAAGGAACTCATACAAGGACAAGGGAGGTCGATCTTCTCAAAATTCCAAAATCCAGAAAAGGTTGAAAGACTGGTGACATTTATGACTTGGAAAAGGAGTTAAATGATCATCAGAGCACAGAATGAAGACACAAAGTTTTTGGAGCTTGGGATCCAAGAGTGATCATATGATATAACCGCTTCATAAAAAACACAGAAGCGGGTTTTGTTTCTTCTGCTCCAGCATCTCAGGAGCTCTGCAGATTTTGGTGGTGTCGTGAGAGGATCGAACACTGTAATATCAGTTTGGATTTTTGTGTGAACCAAAAGCTTGTTTATCCGATTTTCTTGCAAGATGTAAGATTCTTGCCATTTAATAACTAATGAAAGCATGTTTTTATTTCATAGAGTGTGAGATTGTTCGGTCATAAACTGGATGCAGTTTGGTCTAAGTGGGAGGTTTTTCTGTTTGATTAGGTTATATCTCAAACCATTGCTTTAGAAAAGACAATGACAAGACAAAACAGAAAAACCTAAAAGATTCCTGAAACTGAAGCTACAAGCTAAGACAGATCTTGGTGGACGTAATTATCCCACAGAGCAGATGCAATTTCATCCCTTAACCTTAAACTATCTTCCATCTGTTCCTGTGTAAAACCCATCGGCTCTAGTCCATGTTTCTCATCTTGCACAAGCTGTTCCTGTTCCTGCTCTGAAGCCATTGACGCGTCTTCTGTTCCTGCCACTCTATCATTTTCGAACATCCTGAAAACGAAATCATCAGGTTTCTCGGAGAGGACGAAGTTGTGCAGTGCACAAGCCACGATGACCAGCTTCACTTGCGTTTGTAAAGGGTATGGAGGAGCCGAAAGGAGAATCGGGAAACGCTCCTTCAATGCCCCGAATATACGGTTAGTTGCTACGTGAAGCAGCAAATGCCGCTGATTGAATAGCTCCTTTGGATCCTTCGGGTGATAACCGTTAGGTTCTTCGCCTGTTTGGACCTTAACATCATCATATGCGGCTATGAATCCCGGAATATTTGGATACTTAGAGTCCACAAGGTAGTATTTTCCTGCACCATAATGAAATTTTCATCACCAACTTACAATGATAGAGTTCGGGAATTGGTAACAATGGTGTGAAGATGCAGAATTTACCTTCGGGGACATGGAATTTGTTGCGTCTGGTCAATGCAGCAGCGAGAACTTGCTCATCAGAAGCAGAGCCTTCCCAGCCGGCTAAAACGTAATGGAATCTGAGATCAAGTGAGAAAGCTGCAAGAACATTTTGCGTAAGAAGTCCCTTCTTGTTGCGGAAAGGACCTTGCTCGTCTACTCCCACCATGACGGGAATGTGTATTCCGTCAACAACTCCCACACAATCCTACACAGAGAGCAAATACTTAGCAACCAGCGGAATCAAAACCGAAATCTATGGCAGGAAGCCATTAACATTTCTTGCCTTGAAATAAGGATAAAGACGAGGATCGTCCATGATTTCATGTGGGATATCAGGCCCTGGTGGATGGAAGAACTCAGTGGAAATCGCCATGACAGCATTCAAGACATTGTTGAAATGGCGACTGATAGTTTCCCCAGAGTATCTGAACAGCTCTTGAACAGCTCGAGTTCGCAGATTATGGCCGATGATGAACAAGAATATGGCAAGCTGCTCCTCGATCTTGATCCTGTTGGTGTGGCGCAACAAGCCTCTGGTTTGCAGAATATCGCAGAGCTTGTAGAAGACGGGCTTATCCATGCGGAAATTCTCCAAACAACGCTCGTTAGGACCATTCAGCACTTGGTACACAAACTTTTTACCACCTGGAATGGGGACATGGCTGAGTTCTTTGGGCACAGAACTGGTAACAACTCGGTCTTTGTCTTCTTCATCGAAGCTCTGCATTGAGAGAACAGTATCTGCAATGGACAAAAGAGGTGAAGCATAAGAGAGGGACAGAATCGGCAGAAACAACCGGGCATGTCTGGTCGGACACTGCGGCAAATACAGAGAACTCGCAAGTTTTTTTTCCCGCCCCCCAAACAGACAAGTAGGAACCCATCCCATGTGACAAAACCAGAGAAACAATCCGAGGAGGAGGATTTCGAAGAAGAATAAGAGAGAATCACAACCTGGGAAGACGAAGCTCATGCAGTGAAAGCGAATTTCAGGCAAAACCCTGATGGAGAAAGAAGCAAAAACCCTTGTTTCCAGTGAAGGAAGGTACAAAAATCAGGCCTAGGTTTCCAATTGAGAGCAACAAGTTTCATACCAAAACTCAGTGAGAGACGACGACGACGACGACGATGGTTACGCCCTAAAGATGAACATCATAGCGGCAACCGAAGCACCCCAAAATCGATAATTTCATGAACCCAGAAAAGATAAAAGATAAACCCAACTTCACACACAGAGAAGAGGAAATCGTGAAGATCAACCAAGAACAAACACGAACAGGGATTCATGATCGATACATAAATGGTCCGAATTTTGACCCAAAACGAAGTCCAGAGTCCAAAGGAAGAGAACTTTCCCAAAGGGTTGCACCTCTCGGAATTATTTCTCAGTTCCCAAACTTTTTTATGATGATTGTGAAGTAACTCGATGATACAGAATTCAAATCTCTCTCCAATGAAAAAAATATACAAGACATATAGGCGGTTCTTGCCGATCATATCTTACAAAAGTTTTTTTTTTCAAGTATCAAGAGTACAACACAGCATATATTAATTGCTACAAGCATATGTTGCAATGGACAACATCAGTGTGTGGTTTCTCATCTCAGCTACAAAACGAACTAGGTTAGATTCTCACCAGAAACCTTGTCCAACCCATCTTCACTTCTCCCCACCAATGAACCAGATGGATGATCAAATTGTCCTTTCAAGACAAATGCAGGAGGCTTTGTCTTCTGATGATACAAAGTGTTGAGGCCTGACTCCAATATCGGTGGCGGAGCCGCTACCACATCTGGTGAATCACCCACTGCACCTCTCGCTAACCGTGGTTTCTTCGATGACCTCTCTTCTTCGCCTCTAGGGCTCTCGTGGGTAGAATCATAGTTACACCCAGAATCTGGTGTCAAAGGCTCGCGATAAGATGAAAGAGATTCATCAACTGAAAGACTCTTTTCTTGGCCACCTTCCTTTCCAGAGTTTTCTTGGATAGGAGACTCGGAAGTCGGGGCGGGCGTCACGGGATCATTGTTGTTATCCCTCTCCGGGAAGTTATCACCTGTCCCTTGGGCTGATGGTTCGCCCAGAACTCCACTCAGTCGCTGTTGCTCTTCAATTATCTTCTTCAAGTACTTTCCCTGTGCTTCTATCCGTAGTTGCAGTTGCCTTTGTACCTGAAAAGCATCAAAAGAAATTCAGAGCTGAAGGTATATCTCCTGTGAAAATACACAACACTCTTGTACAGGAACTAGCATAGTCAAAAAAACATACTTCTAGCTGCTCATGCAATCGTTTCTGAACCTCCATCTGCAATTTGAGAGCTTCAGTTATTTGTGTTCCCCTGAGATGCAAGAAACATAAGCATCACAATCTGATCATTTAAATTTATACACCAAGCAACTCCACAATGAGGTTTCACTTACGATGAACCATCTAAACCAGATAGCATATCTCCTGATTCTTTCTTCTCCGTTTTTTTCCCTGCAAATTTCAAATAACAAATTCAGATCCAATAGTTGACTCCAGGACCATGATGAAACTTGAAAAACAATGTTCACCCACCTTCAGATGAGGAATCTGGCAGATACTTTGCCAGGCGATATTTCTGACACATCAAAGAAACATATTTGCAGATTAAGGGAAGATCAGACACATATATGGGTAAGAGAATCAGGAAAGATGGATATAAATCAATGAGGCCTCACATCTCATACCTGTAAGTGACTCTTAACATGATATATCGTTAGTCCTTGTACACCCATAACTCTGAGCACACCTTTAGGTGTAGCTCCTTTGAAAAACAAAAGAAGAAACTTATTCAGCATCCCAGTAAAGCAAATGGCTTACATTAAATTACCGCAGAGTTTTGGTCAGAAAAAGGTAGATATCAACCTTTCCATGGAAAAGAGAGAAAATATAGATCAGTAACTACAAAAATATCGGCAGATGAATGTAAACTCACTATCAGGGCCACCAAGTTGTGCTACCGCATCGACGAAACGTTCATGAAGCTCATGCGTCCAACGCAATCGTTGTTTGGATGCAAGACTAGGATTGTTATTGGCATTGTTCCCTCCATTGATCGGTTCCATCGGGGTAAGATCTAAACGATGGCCAGGAACTAGTGAGCTACGGCAAGCTAGATTAGCATTGAGAACCTTGCTCGTCTGAAACATCCAGCAGTGTCACCTCTGTAAAAGGCTAAGAAACTCAACAGGGGAATACATGCGCAGATACAGCATATACAATGATGACGCAAAAAAGAAACCAAAGGAAAACACCATTTATCTCCTAAGGAAACAAATATATTAAAGGAGTGGAATGTGCATTAAAGACCTTCATGATGAAGCATAAAATATGAATGGACCCTAAATATAATGAGTTGTCTAACCAGATAATAAAATGTCTTACATAATCCTCCAATTCCAAAACTCTTGAAATTTCTGGGCTTGACTTCTTAACACTCCATGGATATCGTAGTGTGAACCCTTTTAAACTAAGATAAAGCATGCCATGCCATTTCTCTGGTTCCCCACCCCCGGTGTAAAGCATTTTGAAGGAAATATGAATTAATGTGACAATACAGAAGTACACAATAACAAACACTAAATAATCCGAGTTTGTCACCAAGTGCACTAACATATTAACAATTAAAGGTATAATGATTAAGCTTAAGTTCTAGTGACCTCTGAAAGATACAAATATGTCAAAAATTTGGAAGCAAAATCGCATATCCAACTAACATATGATAAAACACTAACATATCCTTGAAAGCAGAACGGTATAGTGCTGCCCAATCGTAGTGGCATTGTCCAAGTAACTCTTACAACACCTACTTAGATTCCCTTACTATAAAAAGGCACAGAGAATTGTGGTGCATTTCATCTGGGGACATTCTGAAAATATGTAGAACGCTACGAACTACAAAGTCACTGTCCTCTCATAAATCTGAAGATGGTTCACTACAGAAATAAGTCCTTGTTCCCTTGCAAATTCAAATGCAACTATCCAGTAGATTGTCAGAGCCAACCAATCTAAGACCAAAACGTAACTCCGCAGACAATTTGGGTCTGCTTCTGCTAAGGAGGTTGTTTTCCGTGAAAATAACTGTTTCGGCAGCCATCTCTAAAAAAACAGAACTAGGGGCAATTGTGAGCCTACGATGTCTCTATTGACATACCCAGAAAAATGAATTGGCACGGAAGGTAGAAGAAGATTCACCTCAAATTGACCAAGGAGGACCCTTTTATCCTGTCACCGGAAATTAGAGATTTGAGACCCACAATGGATGAGAGATGCACGCGAGCGAGCGATGAGAGAGACAAGAGGAGAGGGAGGGAGAGAGGAGGGGTACCTGAATTCCGGCGGACAAGGAAGAGGATCTGGTCGGACAGTGGATTGGAGAGTGGCAGAGTCAACGGAGGGGGGGGGGAGGAGCAGGACAAATCGAAACCCTAGAAATCACATGTGAGACTCTGGACGGCCCGTTACAGATGTGAACCAAACCATACATTCCATTACATTCACACACAAACGGCCGAATTATTATTTTTTTCTAACAAAAAACTTAAATGCGAGATCTTGCTGTCTCCCTTCCAATAAAATAAAAAATAAATACTGAATTCCAAAGCATAAACTATATAAATAAAAAATATAAATCTCCATATGATTATGATTGATATAAAAATCTTGAATACATATCTAACGCCGATTTTGTTGGAATTCGTTCAATTTATAATGGGTTATCATCATCATCATCATCAAATACCAAAGCATAAACTATATGGACATTTAACTTCGGTATTTTTTTTGCTCCGTCTAAATACCAAAGGGAAACAACATTAGGACCTTTTAAATTTTATTTTGATATAATATATATATATATATATATATCAACCGATAAATGTGTGGTGTGCAGATGATTTGGATGGGCCGGATATCTCAAATATGCGGCCTATCCAAGCCTTCTAGAAATACTGATCTTGTTTTTTTTTTTAACAAATTAATTTTGTATCCAATGTTCTTTTTTATTATTTTTGGATGTTTAATTAATATTAGGCTCAAAATCAATGGCATCATTAATGGACACGTTTGAATAAGTAATTACGGAAGGCGCCTAATCAACCCAAAATATCCAGTTAGGAAGCCTAATTAAATGGCATTGATCCAAAAACATACATTGATTAAGTACAGCAATTAATAAATGTCGGTCGCGTCAAGTAATTCGATCTTGTCACTACGATCAAAACAAATGAAAAACATTTTTTTTTTGTTAAACTATATTTTCTTTATTTAATTATATATATATTCACATCATTACTTGAAACAAACCGTTGAACGGTTCAAGGATGGAACTGAATTTCATCTACATTGTAATAAAAGCTAAAGTACTGTAAAGCAGTTGATATTTAAAAGAAGAATTATATGCATACATTCAAACCAATTTCAAAAAAGGAATAAAAATATTTACGGATTATTATTCATCATTTTATATGTTCTAGAAGGCCATATGGGACAAGGGTCCCAAAAGATGCTCCAAGCTGTCCTTCCTCTATTGGTGTTATTTTAACTGTCCTGCTTTCCAGTAAAAATGTAGAAAGAAATCAATCTTATGAATTATAAAAATATGAAGAATTGAATCAAACTGGAAAATATGTTAAGGTAGTTGGTTCGAATTATACATTATTCAATCAAATTGATTTAATCATAACCGATTTTAAATCATGGGTTATGAATGTTCAAAACATAATTAAATGGGTGTCACTTGGAACTCAAATAAATAATAAAATAGTTTTGAAAATGGAAGGGTTCCAGAAGGACAGCGAGATGAGGAATGCGGTGGTGCGGTCCACTCCCATCTCTTTCTCTCTATCCAAAAGACGACATGACTCTAATGCCAAATATCACCAAGTATCAATCTTCTAGAAGAAAATCTTTTTTTTTTTATTTATTTCTGGGATATTTGGGGTTTGCATGAAATAACCATAAATTTAGAAAAAGGATCCATAATTATGTTTTTTTTTTCTCTCCCGATACTCTGTGTTATGTCGAGATCTCATGGACTTCTTTTGTCGGCCGTCGATAATTCTCTGTACAAAAGGGGAAAATTCGAAGAAGAATTTAATAAAAAATAAAAATAAAAATCGAAGAAGATAATGTTAGGAGGAAAAAAGAGGTAGGAAATTGCGAGGAAGATCGACTGGTGGAGATGGGCCATTCCCCTAATTTAATATCCGACACAACCGATTCAGATAACAGGCGCTTATTCTTATTATTTTTGTTTTGTCCGATATAATCTTAATCTATCACTTTACATGTTTCTGAAAATCTATATATAAAATAAAACAACCTTAATCTGTAAAAGTGAATGTCACGTTGTAGAACACATGCCAATAATCCATATATTTTAAAACAATCGTCACAATGTACATGAGGCGTGATTAAAAAATGGGCCGTACATAAAAAAAAAAGGACAACTATTTTATTACTATTACTATTATTATTATTGTGGATTAAATTAAGGTTTGCTTGATAACATGGGAAATTTGAATTAAGGAAAAAGATCACCTTGGTCGACGTCGGATCATTTGGGGCACTGGACTTGAGCTTTTTTGCGTCGAGATGCATGCCACGTGTCATGTTGTTACACGTAACTAGATAAGGGAACGAAGATCTCGTCATCTTATTCCACGTCGGCTTTCTAGAAGCGCTTACACGATTATATATAATTTACATTACATAAATGCCCCTCTCTTTTTTTTTTCTGTGGTCACAAATGAAATACCGTTTTTGTTTGTTAGTGTTTAATTCTTTTTTTTTTTTTTCCAATCTCACGAAACCGAGTTAAAATAATATAGTCTTCCACCACACTGACGTTGATTTGTTATTTAAAAATAAAATATGAACAATAGAAAATATCGGACCGTCGATGACATTAATTAATATCACCCCTCATATGCGCCCTATATAAAGCATCCGTCACCTCCCCACGTCTTCCCACCTTCGTCAGTGTAGGTTCTAACTCGTAATAACAAAAAAAAAATCTACTGAATTCTCTCGTCAAAAATCTTGTTTCCATCATTTCTAGGGTTTGTCGCTGAACCAGTGAGATTTAGTATCAGATTATTATCTTCAGGCGCATATGAGGGGTGATATTAATTAATGTCATCGACGGTCCGATATTTTCTATTGTTCATATTTTATTTTTAAATAACAAATCAACGTCAGTGTGGTGGAAGACTATATTATTTTAACTCGGTTTCGTGAGATTGGAAAAAAAAAAAAAAGAATTAAACACTAACAAACAAAAACGGTATTTCATTTGTGACCACAGAAAAAAAAAAGAGAGGGGCATTTATGTAATGTAAATTATATATAATCGTGTAAGCGCTTCTAGAAAGCCGACGTGGAATAAGATGACGAGATCTTCGTTCCCTTATCTAGTTACGTGTAACAACATGACACGTGGCATGCATCTCGACGCAAAAAAGCTCAAGTCCAGTGCCCCAAATGATCCGACGTCGACCAAGGTTTGAATTTTCCTTAATTCAAATTTCCCATGTTATCAAGCAAACCTTAATTTAATCCACAATAATAATAATAGTAATAGTAATAAAATAGTTGTCCTTTTTTTTTTATGTACGGCCCATTTTTTAATCACGCCTCATGTACATTGTGACGATTGTTTTAAAATATATGGATTATTGGCATGTGTTCTACAACGTGACATTCACTTTTACAGATTAAGGTTGTTTTATTTTATATATAGATTTTCAGAAACATGTAAAGTGATAGATTAAGATTATATCGGACAAAACAAAAATAATAAGAATAAGCGCCTGTTATCTGAATCGGTTGTGTCGGATATTAAATTAGGGGAATGGCCCATCTCCACCAGTCGATCTTCCTCGCAATTTCCTACCTCTTTTTTCCTCCTAACATTATCTTCTTCGATTTTTATTTTTATTTTTTATTAAATTCTTCTTCGAATTTTCCCCTTTTGTACAGAGAATTATCGACGGCCGACAAAAGAAGTCCATGAGATCTCGACATAACACAGAGTATCGGGAGAGAAAAAAAAAACATAATTATGGATCCTTTTTCTAAATTTATGGTTATTTCATGCAAACCCCAAATATCCCAGAAATAAATAAAAAAAAAAAGATTTTCTTCTAGAAGATTGATACTTGGTGATATTTGGCATTAGAGTCATGTCGTCTTTTGGATAGAGAGACAGAGATGGGAGTGGACCGCACCACCGCATTCCTCATCTCGCTGTCCTTCTGGAACCCTTCCATTTTCAAAACTATTTTATTATTTATTTGAGTTCCAAGTGACACCCATTTAATTATGTTTTGAACATTCATAACCCATGATTTAAAATCGGTTATGATTAAATCAATTTGATTGAATAATGTATAATTCGAACCAACTACCTTAACATATTTTCCAGTTTGATTCAATTCTTCATATTTTTATAATTCATAAGATTGATTTCTTTCTACATTTTTACTGGAAAGCAGGACAGTTAAAATAACACCAATAGAGGAAGGACAGCTTGGAGCATCTTTTGGGACCCTTGTCCCATATGGCCTTCTAGAACATATAAAATGATGAATAATAATCCGTAAATATTTTTATTCCTTTTTTGAAATTGGTTTGAATGTATGCATATAATTCTTCTTTTAAATATCAACTGCTTTACAGTACTTTAGCTTTTATTACAATGTAGATGAAATTCAGTTCCATCCTTGAACCGTTCAACGGTTTGTTTCAAGTAATGATGTGAATATATATATAATTAAATAAAGAAAATATAGTTTAACAAAAAAAAAATGTTTTTCATTTGTTTTGATCGTCTTCATGTTCATCCCCTGTGGTCTCAGTGGCTGTCACTGCGTCCATGTCGGCAATCTCGGAGTCGCATGCAAGGATGTTGTTGTTATGGCTGCTTGTGGGGTTGTGGGTTTGAGTCACTGTGAACAGCTCTTTCCCTGGGAAGGAATCGTGCTCATTACCTAATGATTTTCACCGAAAATGTTTTCAAACCATGTCCGAAGAAAATCCTCTTTTGCTGAGGTCCGTACATTGATGATGCGAGCCGGAGTCGTCGAAGACTTAGTAAATTTAACATGGCGCAGTTAGAGTTATATGCTTAAATAGAGATCAACAATTTCCAAAAATTAAGTCCAATGTCTATACTAAGGGATTAGAAATAGGGAACTAATTCCAAAATCCCTAAGAAGCCCTATAGCAGTACCTAAAGGAACCTGTGTCAATCCACCCCGAGTGGGAGGTTAGACAAAGGGGGAGGACTTATCTCGCTCGCCAACTATATTGACATTAGCAGTGGACCCCCTTAAGTCCAATACGAAGGACCGAAAGGAAGATAATCAAGAAGAGCAACCGTGCATTCCTTGTTACCCGAAGCATAGATTGGAGGACACACCGGTTACCCGAGACTTTCTAATGCTTTTCCCTGATGACTTGTCAGAATTTCTGTCTAGGGGAAAAAAATGGATTTCACCACTGATATACTACCGGGTACAGAGTCAATCACCAAGGCTCTATACCGGATAACACCGATTGAGATGATCGAATTGAAGGAGTAGTTGAACGGATAAATGAAAAAGGTCTATACGCCCAACGGTTCACCGTGGGGAACACCAGTACTCTTCGTGAAGAAAAATGACGGGAGTATGCATTTGTACATCGATTATCGAGGGCTCAACCAAGTGACTATCAAGAATCAGTATCCGTTACCGAGGATTGACGAGTTGCTGGACCAGCTACAGGGAGCCCAATGGTATTCGAATATCGATCTACGATCCGGAT